CGGGGGGCGGCCGCGGCCCCTCCGCGCTCATGCCCGGCCCGACCCGCGGCGGCCGGCTCGGGGGTGGCCGCTCGGCGACCGGAGCCCGCGTGCCGAGGCCCAGGCGGTGGGGCTGCGGGCTCGGGGGCGCGGCGGCCGGCGCTCCCGCCGCTGCTCTGCTGCTCGGCTCCTCCTCTCCGCTCCGCGGCTCTGCCCTGCTCTGCTCTGCTCCCGGTCTCCGCCCGCCGCCGTCTCAGCCCGGCCTCCGGCAGGCCGGTCCCCGCGCGCACGTCACGAGCGCGTGTGAGCATGCGCCCCGCGGGCCGCGCCCCCGCCCCCCTCCAGCGCCCTGGCGCTCTGGTGCCAGCCCGCCCCGGCCCTGCCCCCTCCCGGCCTGCCCCCTGGCGCAGGGCCGCCGAGGGGACCCGGGGGCGGAGGGCGGGGCGCGGCTCCCTGTTGCTTCCGCCTCCGGGGCGGGGGTGCGGGCCGCGCAGCCGGGGCCTGGACGGCGGGCCCTGGGCGTCCAGCCCTGGGTCCGGCCTGAAACGTGTATCTCCCCGCGAAGGCCCGAGGGCAGGGGCGAGATCGCGGGGAGTCGGGGAGGGGAAGGGATCAGGTTGGGCCGGAGACCGGCTAAACCCGGCCTGTGTCTCCCTCGTGCTCCACGGCCCCACGCGCGGCCCGCCTGCTTGGCAGGTGAGGGGGCGCCGAGGCGGGCCCCGCGGGGCTGCCCAGAGTCGCACAGCTCCTCTGCGCCGAGGCGAAGGTAAGCTCAGCGTCTCCCACCTAGGATCCCCGCTTCCTTCTGAAACCCCGCCGGCTCCCTCGCCCGGGGCCCCTGGCCCAAGGACTCCAGAGCTGCGACAGTCACAGGCACCTGTAATCCGGCGGGGCTGAGGCGTTGGAATCAGCGGCCCGCCCGGCCCGGCTGGCCGACCCCTTCGGTCCTGCCGGTCCAGCTCCTGCCTCCGTCCCTGGCTGCGCCAGGCGGTCACCCGGAGGCTGAGCTGGGCCCGCGGGAAGGAGCTCTGGGCTCCGGGCCTCCAGGCCCCGGGGGGCGCGCGCTCGTGCGTTATCTGGTCACCAGACGGAGAACCCTTGCGTCTCTCAGACACCTCGATTTCAATCCCAGGGAATGCTTCTGTTTCCCCAAGGGGAAACGAACTCTCTCTTCTCAATCACAGTCAGCCTTGAATTAAAGGATGCACTTTGTTTCCAGCATCTGTTCTCGCTGCCACGGGCCACCGCTTGTGAAACCAGAGGGGCCTGACAGGGCCCCTGGAGGAACGCCACTGAGTGTCCCCCTGGCTGGCTGTGAAGAGAAGCTTCCACGTGGACCCTTTGGGGATTAGATACAGAAGCTTGGGATTGGGTGGGAGTGAATGGTGGTCATGGCTAAACTATCTGGATTCTGAACTGCTTTTCTTCAGTAAAATGCTCATTTTTGGTCACCTAACTCATCGATTCTCCACTTTCCAACCGAATCTACTCTCTCCTGCGTGGCATCCAGGAGGCCAATGGCCAGCGTCAGGGGATCTTCACCAACGGGGCGCCCGTTGCGAGCTGAGACCAAGCAGAGAGGCTGGGGCCTTTCTTCCCTCGTCTGCACCCTGGCCTGGCAGTGTCTGTGTCCTTCGGTGACCACAGTGCTTGCCCAGCTTTCTTTCTTGTTGGATCAATTCGTGTCAGGCGCCGAATGAGTGGGTGACAGTTGTCACCCCATGCTTCCTACAGCCAGGCAGCGGGGTCAGCTGGGCCCTGGGGAGCAGCACCTCTGGTGGGTCGTGGAGCCACGTTCACACTGCAGCAGGTGGTCCTGTCGCCATGCGGTCTTCCACATCTCCTCCCAGGAACGCCTTCTGCTTTCTGCCGGGACCCTGGCTGCTTGAGACAGATATTGACCGGCCTAGCACCTTGCGAACGGTGACATTTGCAGGGGGCGGGTGGAAGGACACAGGCAGAGGCCACACAAGGCCACAGGATAAAGGCTGTGTGCCTTTCAGGGACACCTGTTTTGTTCAGTGGTCAATGCTAATTTCATCTTGTAGTAAACACTGTGGTGGCCACAGCCATGCCCTCCGTCCTTGCTGGCAGAAGCCCACCTTGGTGCAGGTAGCCACCCTCTGCGTGGCTAGGGGTAAACTGGTCCATGTGAGCTAATCTCGGTAACTCCATGCCTCTTCTTGTGACTGGTTTTGAAACAAGTTTTAAACCAGTGAATCCTGCTGTTGGGAAAGGTCTCCTCACTTGTAAAAAGCGCATAAAGAGGACATGCTCCTCGTTTCCTGCCGGATGTTGTGTGTCTGGATGTGATGTCTGGCGTTTCGCAGCCTTCTTGCGTCCGTGATGTGACAGGAACAGCGTCACAGTGGGGATGGCAGCGTGGAGAGATGGGAAGAGCATGGGTCCTTAGTGACACCACTGGGCCACTACCCTAACTTGGATTTCATGTTTTGAGAGATAATAAATATCCTTATTGAGTTGGATTTTCTGTTGCTAGCGGCTCACAGCATCCTAATTCTAAACCTATGGAAACATGGGATTGATATATATACACTAATATGTATCAAATAGATAACTAATAAGAACCTGCTGTATGAAAATAATAATAATAAAAAAATAAACCTATGGAACCAAACCAGTTAGGTGTCTATTAAAGTAACATTAAGTCCAGCTCACGCTGTGAGTGGGTTATTTATTTCTGGTAACAGACCACACAAACTTGGGCGCTTAAACACCAGTGAGCTATTATTTCTCAGGACAGTGTTTTGGGGGAAGGTTCCTCTGTTCCACCTGGTCGTGGCTGGGATCGTTCATGCATCTGCATTCTTTTGGGGGCTTAGCTGGGCCCTGGGGGTTTCTGATGGCTTTAGTCACATGTCTAGTACTAGCCTCAGCTGGGTCAATGGAGAGCTGGGAGCAGGTGGCCTCTCTCTCCGTACTTGGTGGTCAGCCTGAGCTTCTTTACACGCAGCTGGATCCCAAGAGGGTCAAAGTGGACACTGCCCGGCCCCTGAAGGTCTGGGCTTGGAAGTTCCGGATCATCACCTTCCTCTCATTCTATTGGGGAAAGTAAGCCCAAGACCATCCTGGATTCAAGGGGGAGGGGCAGAGCCTTGTACATAAAGGATGAGAGAACCTATGAACAGTCATCTTCAGAAATAACCCACCTTACACATCAAACGACGACTGAGTATGTTGACAGTATCACAGGAAGGTCACAGTGAAAAGGCTGTGGGAACTCCAGGGCCTGTGTGTTTCTTCATTGCCATCCAAGCGGAAAGAGAGTCTCCACTCTGATTGGACCGGCCACATCCTCTGCCCATTCCTGGCCAATCAGTTACTAGGATGGTGGAATGCCATCAGATGATTGGCTTAGGCCTGGGTTAAGTGCCGACCCCTGGCTAGTTGGTGTCCATGGGGGATGGAAGGATCCCAATGAGCTTGGGACCATCAGGGCCTTCCCCTGACCCACACACAGCATGGCTGCTTCCCGGTAGAGGGTGGTATGAGCAAGTAGGAGGGACAGGCAGGAGGCAAACCCCGAACTGAAGCCAGATTGTGGTTCTGCAGTAGCTGCACGCCCACCCACACCCATGCACAGGCTCACACCCACCTGCCCTAACCCTCCTCCACTGTGCAGGGACTAGGGTGGGAACCAGGGCTCCTGGTTCTTGGACTCCCATGTGAAGAAGACCTTTGAGAAGTAAGGGGGCAGGAGCAAAGAAGTGGAGCCTTCCTGTGGAGACAGTCGAGAGCAGTGATTGTCACTGGGACCGCAGATAACAAAACCTGAAGCCAAAACTGATAGCTGAAAACGCAGAACAGGGAAGCGTGAGTTTTTCATGTTTTGTTTTGCTTTTAAACATCTTTATTAGAGTATAATTGCTTTACAATGGTGTGTTAGTTGCTGCTGTATAGCAAAGTGAATCAGTTGTACATATACATATGTTCCCATATCTCTTCCCTCTTGCGTCTCCCTCTCTCCCACCTTCCCTATCCCACCCCTCTAGGTGGTCACAAAGCACCGAGCTGATCTCCCTGTGCTATGCGGCTGCTTCCCACTAGCTATCTATTTTACGTTTGGTAGTGTATATAAGTCCATGCCACTCTCTCACTTCGTCCCAGCTTACCCTTCCCCCTCCCCGTGTACTCACGTCCATTGTCTACGTCTGCGTGTTTATTCCTGTCCTGCCCCTAGGTTCTTCATATCCTTTTTTTTTTTTTTTTAGATTCCATATGTATGTGTTAGCATACGGTATTTGTCTTTCTCTTTCTGACTTACTTCACTCTGCATGACAGACTCTAGCTCCATCCATTCATGGTCTTGATATAATAATATCTGACCCTGCTCTAAGCGGGTGAGTTAAGCTTCTGTGTTACATACTCTCTTTTTAAAAAAAAAAAAGTCACTAACTGCACTAAACAGAGACCAAAGGAGGATGTTACACGGCCCCCACCAGTTCTCCTCAGCCTGCAGACAGACTCCATCGCCCGGGGACATTTGACAAGACCTGCAGACAGTTTTGAGCCTCGTGACCTCGCTGCTGGCACGCAGTGGGTGGAGGCTGGGGTGCTCTGAGCACCCTGCAAGGCACCCAGCGGCCCTCACAGCCAACCCTTATTCGGTCTGAAGTGACAGCGTTGAGGCTGCGAATCCCTGTCTCACGCTGACCTCCTGGGCAAGGATCGACACATCATCCTAAAGAGCTTTTCTCTCTGGTAGCCCGTTTTCAAGGTCAAATAGCAGCATCAAAGGTCAAGGTGGCAGATGGGACATCCCCCAGGTTTACGGACACTGGTGACCCTTATCACTTGGGGTGTTTCCATGTTTAAGTCTAGAATTATGTGGAACCAATTTTAAGAAAACCAACAGGGTTTAATTTTTTTTTTTTTGCAAGACGGTTACTATTAGTTCATCTGACTGTTTCCATCCCACAGAAGTGGTGGTGCCTCCCAGGGGTGTTCTGGGACTCTGTGGGGCGCTCTTGGTCGTCACCATGACTGAAGTGGTCCTTGAGGCAACCTTAAAGCCATCCTGGACACTCATGTTACACAGGAACCTAAAGAACTTGTGTGTGGTTTTAACACGCAGATTGTACACTTACGGTTTACATTCTCATGTTCACCTGTGCCACTGTTTTGCCATGTTCTCTACTTTTTGAACAGTATCACTTCTTAACATACTTTTTAAGCATCAAGACTGATACATTAGGGAATTCCCTTGTGGTCCAGTGGTTAGGGCTCCGTGCTCTCACTGACGAGGGCCTGGGTTTAATCCCTGGTGGGGGAACTAAGATCCCACAAGCTGCGTGCCCTGGGCAGAAGAAAAAAGAAAGAAAAGAAAAACGAAAGATTGATACGTTAAAGTGAGCGAGCCTCTGGTTACGTTACCTGAGTACCTTCTGTTTTGCCCTGTGACCCTACCTGAGAACTTACATTCTTAGATATGCATTATTTTATCATAAATTAATATTATATTAATTTATATTAATATATTTCTCTGAGTAGGAATTTGGGCGCTACGGAGATTTTTCTAAAGTGTTTGAGGGTGTTCACACCACGCGTGAATTCACTTCGTCTCAGGCTGGTGAAGGTGTTGGTCTGAAGGGCTGAAGTCTGCTGGTCCAGGCTCTGCCCCTTCTGTTTGCTCTGGGGGCTGCAGCCTCCCTGGGTGACCAGGATGGGGCAGGAGGTCCAGGAGAGGGAGGGGGCCGGGGTAAAAGTGAAGAGGCAGATTACAGCACATCTCTCCAGTTTTTCCTTCTATCCCTGTCACATGTGTGTGGTCACTTTTAGACAAAATATCAGGTAAATACAATATCATGTTCTCTCTTATTTCCAAGTATAAAATATATTATCTCAAACTAGTGAATCTAGTCCCACGTGGGGTCCCAATATCTCCATATTTCTGTCATGTGCTAGGGAAATATATAGGTATATACACATAATATATAATGTGAGGGGACTTCCCTGGTGGCGCGGTGGTTAAGAATCTGCCTGCCAATGCAGGGGACACGGTTCGAGCCCTGGTCCGGGAGGATCCCACATGCCGTGGAGCAACTAAGCCTGTGCGCCACAACTACTGAGCCTGTGCTCTAGAGCCCGTGAGCCACCACTACAGAGCCAACGAGCCACCACTACTGAGCCCGCGCGCCTAGAGCCCGTGCTCCGCAACAAGAGAAGCCACCGCAATGAGAAGCCCGCGTACCGCAAGGAGGAGTAGCTCCCACTCGCCACAACTAGAGAAAAGCCCGCGTGCATCCACAAAGACCCAAAATATATAATGCAGCCAAAAATAAATAGACAATAAAAAAAAAAAATTAGTCAACAAACGCTGCCCCCAAACCTCACAGCCGAGCCCAGGAGGGGCCTCATGCCCCTCGGTCAGTGGAAACACATGTGCTGTCCCGACCTTGACGTAAACCATCAGAGGGAAGAGAGCGTCTTCCCCTGGGGGAACCCAGAGCTTCAGGGAGGGGCCCCATGCCCCGGTCCAGGGCCTGGAGAGGGTCCCTTCTCGCTGTGCTCCCCACCGATCACGACTGAACAGCAGACCGCCCCCCAGCTGTCGTCTCTCCTCGGGACTGAGCTGATAGAAGCGGAAAGCCTAAGTCTCTGCATCACTTCAGCTCCAGTAAATCAAAGCCGACCACTGTTCTCTAATGAATGAACAAGTAGAAGGGTTCACAAATACAGCGTTGTCCCAAATACAGGGCTCTGTGGGACAGCGAAGATGCTATCTGCTTCCCACCCTAACGCTCGGCCCAGACATTAATACTTGGGTCTTTTTGAGGATAATTCACTATTACTACTGTAGAAAACCTCTGATTTCAGGAGAGTGATTAAATAAATCTGTGACACTTTCTTTTTCCAGGAGTTGAAACAGCACAGGGATATTACCCTGCATTTTCAAGGTCAAACCTGGAGAGCAGTAAAATGTGCCTTGTGTTTACAAGATGCTTACGTTCTTTCATGCTAAGTTTATTATTGCTAAGTTCTTTCGTGTGAATGACCTCAAACACCCTGCGGGGCTCTCCATTCCTCTCTGGGAGAAACGAGCCTCAGAGAGGTCATGGGACAGGCCAGGGCCCACCCAGTCGGGGCGGAGCCTGGCTGAGTCTGGCTGTGTCCCCTCGGTCTCCCCGTCCCCCCAACGTGGGATGGCGCGCAGCTTCCCACGGTCGCCCGAGAAGGATCTGGAGGAATCTTCTCTGCCGTGCGAGGCCGGGCAGACAGCAGCCGCTGAAGGACGGGTCTGAAAGGTTCACATCTTCTCCTAGACGGCTGAACTGATTTTGGCAAAACTACTTACAATCTTGAGTTTTTCCACATCAATATAAGGATATTGATTACTGTGAGGAATGTCTAAGGAGATAGATTAGAAAATATTTACCTGACAGGCATGAAGGGCTTAAACATGGTATCTGAGAATAGAAGTTTGTTCTGGGCACAGAGAAAGGTAATAAATCTCTGTAAGCCATTCTAGTCAATAGCACGCTGGGATCACTTCAAGTCTAAGTGGCTAGCAATCCACGAATAACGCTTCGAAAATGAAAAGGAGAGAAATAGGCATCACACATTCCCATTCTGCCCTCAGAGTCTCCTGTTTTCACTAATTGGCTATCCAAGTTTAAAATATTTTCTCACAGAAATTCAAGATGGGAAAC